GGGTGATGGACGCCGCGAAGCACGCCCACAAGTTCTGCAACGCGGAGGAGGAGGAGAGCGTCTTCCTGCGCAGGTGGGCCCCGGCCTCTGACCACCCCGGCCCTCCACGGCCCGGGGAAGGGCCCGCTCTGATCTGGCCGTGCCTCCCCACCTGGCTGGGGTCCCTCAGCCGGACACCAGCACCCGCGGTCTGCGTGCTCCTGTCAAGCTCTTCCTCTCTCCCCCAGACCTGAAGGCATAGAGCGGCAGTTCAGGAAGAAGTGTGGCAAGTGAGTGAGCGCGGCTCCTTGGTGAATTGTATAAACTGTTTGTAAGGTAATGGTAGGAATCCAGAATCTGGGTTTCCTCACAGCTACGCATGTTTCTGTTTCCAGGTGTGGACTGCTGCTCTTTTATCAACACCAACAGAAAAATGCTCCCGTGACGTTCATTGTTGACGGTGCTGTGGTCAAATTTGGCCAAGGTTTTGGGAAAACAAACATATATACACAGAAACAAGAACCTCCCAAAAAGGTAATCAGCTTTAGAGAAGTAAAAACACTATCTCTGCTTTTCAGAAAGGTGTGGTAAGTAAAACCACTTAATGTCGGGGGCAGAGGGGGAGAAACAAGAAAGAAAAGGACCTCTGAACAATAACTTGGTGTCTTCTCCCTGTCTGCCTTGCATTTTCCTTTACTGAGGCCACTGCAGCTTGGAGTCCTCATACTAAAGGAATGCAAAACAAAGTTGGAAAGCTGGACTGTGCCTGATGTTTAGGCTCCCTTACCAGAAAGTTTCCATTTGTAAGTAGGTCAGATTGGTAGTCTGCACAGTGAGTCTCAAAATCTGGCACATCTATTATATATCAGTGAGTGCTTCTGATAATGATAGCTCTAAGCCCAGAAGTCACTGGGGGTGATTCTGCTTTGCCACCCACAAAGTTCAGGTAACCTTAATGACTTGCATGAGAAGCCTTAAAAGCTTTGGAGAGCGACTTGATCCCTAGTGGCAGAACTCTTGCCAAGGTTTAACAAAATACTCTGTTTCTCACCCAGGTGATGATGACCAAACGGACCAAAGACATGGGCAAGTTCAGTTCTGTCACAGTCTCCACAATTGATGAAGAGGAGGAGGAGATTGAAGCGGTGAGTTTTGTCTGCCCTTAGTGGCAGTCACATCTGGACTGGGAGCTGTCTCCGACACTGATCAGAGCAAGTGATCTCTCACCATTTGGATGAGGTGGTGGTACTTTGGGGTTTGCTGTTGCAAAGTGATGCTGTATGTGTTTCAGAGGGAGATTGCAGACTCCTATGCACAGAATGCAAAAGTGATAGAGAAACAGCTGGAACGCAAAGGCATGAGCAAAAGAAGGCTGCAGGAGTTGGTGAGTGTGTTCTTCAGTGTTGAACGTGGATCCCTGAGATCTGTCAGCTTTGTACACAAAAGCTGCCTTGCAGATGGGACTGCAGGTATAGAGACGTCCTGGTACAGTCATAGGTAACTTGTAGCTTTGTGAGAGTGGCTTTTCTTTTACGGGTTTTATAGAGATGTTCTGTTCCTCCTGAACTTAGAATCTTATGCAGCTACCTATAGAGCCAACTGAAGAACATTCAGCAGAGCTTCTGCAGGGAGACTTCCCGTGACCTGTTGCACAAGAAACAAGGGAAGGGGAAAACAGTCCATGGCTTTGCCAACCAGAGCACCCCAATGCTGTGCTCTGAAGCCTGCTTGGCAGAGCGGGTCTTTGCCATGAGGCATCAGGACAAGCTAATCAGTCTTGGGCTTTTTATGATTATTTAAAGGTGATCCTCATTTTGTATCTCAAGGGAGGAGGGAGTCAGCACAGAACCTGAGCTACTTTTGCTCGTGGTATGAAAAGCGTGCAGTGGTCAGACGAGAAGACCGAACCTCACTGGATCACTGAAGGGATACGTATCTAGGCATTGTTTCATTCTGTCTTCATTTTCTTAACCAGGCTGAGCTGGAAGCGAAAAAAGCCAAGATGAAAGGAACCCTGATCGATAACCAGTTCAAATGAAATGCTGCACATCTGCTGAGTATCTGGAGACAGAAGAAAGCTACCAGGAGCTATCACAGATCTGTCGGCAAAGCAGAAGTAACAGACAACATTGAAGGGCAACGTGCTGCAACCAGCTTGGAGGTTGAGCAGCTCTCTGTCGTAAGTGATACCCTGGTACCAATTGTAGTGACTCCAATGGCACTGGAAACTTTGCTGAAACTGCAGTTTTCTACAGACCCAGTGTTATGAGCAAGCTGTTCCAGCCAGAATATTTACTTTTGGGAAGATCTTTGCTGGGTGCCTTCCTGAGTTCAGTGCACCTTGAGATACTTGTCTTTTTATTTTGGTAGTTTTCACATGTGTAAGATTTCCATAAATGGAGGAGAACAATGGGTCAACTGTACAACAAATAAATAGTTACAGAAGTAAGCTCTGTGCCTGTTGTTCATTTTGTTATTTCAAATGTGTCCACAACCTGCAGCGGGCTGAGGCGTGCCATTCCAGCACAGTCTGGAACGCCTCGGATGCACGGCTTGGGCATCGTGCTGCTGCTTACCCTGACCAGCAGACAGGCTGTCAGAGGCTTGGCTGCAGCTTTATCTTGGCTCCTATTGAACATCAGAAAGCTGCAGTTGTACAGAACCACTGTCCCACCAAGATACAAGAACATGAAATCCACCTCTGTTTTAAACAAAAACTGCCTGCGTATTATACCACTGATGAGTACAAATGCATAGTTGGAAGCTACTGATATGACTGGTGATCATTTAAAGCAGAATACAACTGCACATCTGGACTAACCCGTTCTGCAAAACAGTATCAGTATTTGGAGTTGTAAAATGTGAAGAAGAAAAAATTGTTTTGAATGCACTGACCGCTAAGGACTTGGGTAAAGACAGCACTAAGAATTGGTGTGTGAAGTACCGTGTTTGGGAAGTAATATTTTCTGTCTCGTGTGTGATGACAATGACACTGCTTTATAGCCCATGTCTTTGTTGCTCTACTTGGTATTAAATACCATGTTATGGAGTTGAAAATACTTTTCCTAGGGTGTTCTTACTCTACCAAGTAGAAAACAGTATGAGCAGTGAGCATGATGCTTCATGTCCCACAATTATTACGGAAGACTTCCTATAATCAATAAAGATTTTTCATCTGGCTTTAAAGCCCTGACTGGGAAAACTCAGGTCTGCTTAGCCTAAGGATGTATCCTTCCTTTCTTTGGGAAAACAAGGTGTAAGGGAGGGAGCGAACTCGGCCCCAGAGCTGGCAGCCCGGGACGCATCCGTCAGTCATGTGAGTGTAATGCCAGGCTGGGTCAGCCTGTTCGGGTGAACTTGATCTTGTTCACTGCCGATCATCTGCTAATCTGAAGCCTATTTCCAGAAGCCTGCGTCCAGAGACTCCTCAGGTAAGCAGTGATGAGTGCGTAATGCTTGGGAAGGGCAGGGGGAATGGCTGGGCGCAGCTCCGTGACACAAACCCTTTTTCTGAGTGTGGTAGCACAGTCCAGGCAGGCAGGGGCCTTGGGGTTCCTGTGGGAGCAGACCAAGCCCCGAATAATCATGGGTTGGCCTCTTTAAAAATTAGGAAGTTTTTAACAAGCAGGAGTTAAAGACTTTGAAATCTGAAAATAGGTTTTGAACCATGTGAGGTCCGCAGGGGTGATGCAGACCGCTTAGTCTCCAGCTGTCGTAAGGGATGAAGTACGGTCCTGGTTCAAGTGACACCCGGAACAAACAGTGACTCGGGCATAGTGTGATTGACAGATTAAGTTTGGGAACGACAGAAGGCAGGGCTTCAGCTGACACCAGGCTGTGATGGGGCAGCCAGGTGGGCCAGGACCATCTTTGCCATTTGGTGAGGCACTAAGAAAATGCGAGCGCAGAGCTCATCGGGAGTCGTCCAAAACAGCCGTCGCCAGCCTCCCCAGCTGCACACCTCGGGCTTTGAGGCAGCATTCCCAGCACAGCACAGCACAAGCACTCCTGCTTTCTGGCTTTTAGAAGACCGGCCCATGCTCAATCAGTGTTTTTCATTCTTTGGGGCAGGACTCACAAACCCGGTCAGAAAGAGGAGTATGTTGTTGGTCACGCTAGTGGTCCTGAGATATTTTAAATACACTGCAGTTATGCAGTCAATGGCTGAAACCATCCCAACATGAAGAATCTGATCCAATACGTTATTAAGTGTGTACTTCTTACCCTAACTAGATCCAGCTCACAATTTAAATCAAGTTGGGTTTTTCATCTCTAGATCTAAATGAATTAAAAGATGTTAACTGACTATAGCAACAGGAAGCAGGGGCACCTAGTTCAAATGCTTAAATAAATATCCTACTGTAACAGATAAAACCAGCTGATCTGCAGAATTTCCCATACCTGCGTAGTCTACAGCAGTGTTCAGACCAAAGAAAAGTCAGGTTTTGTGTTACTGTAAAATCCAATGTTAGTTTTCATAAATCTCTAAATATAGGTAGGTGATAGATTTGATTTCTTTGTTTAACCGAGCACTATATTGTACATAAGAACTTGTCCAGATACAGAGGTATTGCAAAGCAAAGTAGTGTGTGAAATAAAAGTGGAGGAGGGATCTATTCCCAAAACAATGCCACACATCCCCAGACTTACCTCGGTGCATTTCATGGCTTAGTCCAGTCCAGTTTCCAAGCACCCTCCCAAGACCCCAGTCTGAATTACCATGTCAGCATAGCTTTGTGTGTAGCAACACTGCCTCATTCCTCATAACCTCTAAAAAAGACCACACAGTTTGTAAATACTGAAGAGAAGCAGCGGTGGTGAGTCAGAACTCTTGTGTAAATCAGTCCCCAGCAACACCTGGGGAGCAATGCAGGTCATCCCTTGCACGCAGCCGATGCCATCCTGCACCCGGGGTGAGCCCCCGAGCCCAGTGATCCCATCAGCGCCTCACCAATTCCCCTAGGAAGAGAGCAGCTGCCCCTGCCTTGCCTTGCCCAGCACAGGATGGGCCCTGCAGCCTCCAGCCCAGCCCCACAGCGCTGGTGGGGCCACGGGCAGCCCCATCCCGCAGCCCCCTAAGCACCACGGCCAGCCCAGGCTGGTGCACACCGAGCCATTCCAAACACCCAGCACCGCTGACACCTACCCCAGCCGCTGACAGGCGTTTCACACGATCTGGTGTGCGGCTGTGCTGCGTCAACACCTCCTAAGCCTGGGATTTACGGCCTCTGGGCAAGGGGCCGAGATGAAAGCCGTGTTACAGGCACTTGTCCACCCCTCGCTGCCAGCAAATGGCCAGGCATGGCTCCAGTGGAGGAAATAATTCTGTGCGAGATGTTTGGTACTCCCCACAAGAGAATCGTGTTTAAAAGGAAAATCCACCCCTGCCCACCATCCAGCAATTAAGTGTTTCAGAACAACCACCAGCATTTCAGAACAGCCCTTGAAATCCAGGAGAGCTTAGCAGCAGGAGGCAGTAAGAGCCCTCAATTAATTGCATTCGTGCAGCAGGAAAGGGCTCGTTACCCCCTACCAGGCTGCCCGCTCCCCCGCATCTCAGGGGGAACCTTCCAGCACATTTTGTTTCCGTGGCAGGCAGTGGGGGATCTCGCAGCGCAGGAGCCCAGGGACGGCTGGGAAGCACCAGCAAAGGCTCTTGGCGTAACAGCGTGGCACAAGTCCACGTCCCATCACGAACGCGTGTGCCCACGCACAGGGACCCAGGCGTGCCGACGCCGGCTGCAGCAGGACAGTGCTGTGCTCTCATGCCTGGCTGCCACGCTTAGATTTCAGCAAGGAAAAAAACTACCGACCTTTGCAACACAAGGGCTTGTTTAGCTGCCTCGGACAGTGGCTGAGATTGGTTTCAGTCATTGAGATCAACCACTTTGAGCAGGCCTGGGCAGCCAGAAAGGACCAAAAGTGTGGACACAGCAAGGAAAGATTCACTGATCCAAAGGGCAGAGGACCAGAAGAGCATCCACTCACCACCCCGGTTCCCCAGGCAGCTTCACTGAAGCGACTCACAGAGACGCCTGGGTAAAGGCCAAACCACACACGTTGCCTGGTCTTGCAGTGTTTTCCCCAGATTTCCCCACAGCATGAAGGAATTTCCCCTTTCCCCCAGAATTTGGGGCTGAGACAAGTTCAACTTCCAGGGGTAAGGGATGAGCCTGGGGCTGCAGCTCCCTGGTGAGCACAGCCCTGGCCTAGGAGCTGTCTTGTGTCTGCTCAGCTACCACAGCCTCACAGTGCAGCACCTCGTGTGAGGGCACAGCCAGCCAGGGGCTCCACAGGTCAGCAATTACCTGCACTTACATCCTCTGGCTGGGTTTTAACATGCCCAAGTAGGGAGCCGTTTCAAAGAATACACAATGCCAGCTCTGCTCCTCTGGACAGCAGCAAATACCCTTTAGACATTTCTCCAGCCTGCCAGGAATTCAGCGCCATGGGGAGGACTGTGCTTTGCAGGTTTAGGCACTTGGCACTTTCAAAACAAGGTTTCATCAGCTCCGGGGAGCGGAGAGGCCAGAGGCAGGACCAGTGGCACACAGTCAGCATCTTGGAAGGTCTTTACAGGGTCTTGGGAGAGATCAGCTGGGTGAGTCCTTCAGAGCTGCCAGTCCCCACTCCATCGGGGAGGAAACACCTCCCAGCATCCTCCGCAGCCTGCACTGCGTTCACCTGCTGGGGGCCACAGGTAGCTAGCAGGCAGTGAGGTGTGCAGGATGGAGGTGGTTTTTCTTCTTCCTTCTCTACGCTCACTGAGACCCCCACCCCCATCTTGCTGCAGCTGCTGCAAGAACAAACATGAGAAGGAAAGTTGGTTTCAGATTTTTATTTCTTTGTACTCTTTAAGCAGGAGCGACTGAAATGGAAACCATGGTGAGTCCCATCAGGGGGACTAACTGGATAACGACAAGGCAGGCAGTTGCCCCTGCCCCATGCCAACCTGTATAAACATCAGCCGTCACTGCTGAGTAACGAGACGGTTTTCAAACAAGTCCATGAACGCTCACAGATTACATATAACAACATGCCAGTTCACAACAGGAAACAACTTATGTGTACTTCTTGATTTCATCATAAAGGACTAAGACAAAAGCACCACCCATTCCTCGGAGTACATTTGACCATGCACCTTTGAAAAATGCCTTGGAGCCCTCGTCCCGGGCAATCTTCCTCCAGCAGTCAATAGTGCCGCTGTACATTATGTCAGCTGTGG